CCACCCTCTTGCTATGTCTTGCCCCTGCTGCTATTGTCCTTATACCAACTCCCCTCTGAAACTCTGCCAGCCAGCCAACCAGTGCCACAATGCATTAGGGCCAAACACTATCAGACGTGCTTCTCAGGCACATCTTACACATCGGCCTCTCAGCCTCATGCATATACACAAACACGTACAGTCCAGCATTTCTTCACACCATCTGCCACAGTGACTGACAGAGATGCAGTTTACACATGAGGCTTGAGGGAGGTCTTATTCACAGTGGCTGTCTCACTCCAACACTACTTCTCCAATCAAAACAAAAACACAAGGACTATGGTTTTTATTCTAAACACGCACACATTCTCACTTGTCGCGACACATGGCATCTCACTACATATGTTCAGACATAGTGTGGTTTTCAAAGGCATAGTGCTGGACTCTCTAGCTCGCAGAAATGCCTACATATATAAAAATATTTACACATGCGTACACAGAAGAAAGCACAATCCCTTCTATATACTTTTTTTTTGTACACTAAATCCAGTACAAAGTCACAGCTTCCATGCACAATAGCAAACAAACAGTCATTAGCAGATTTCAAGCTGCCTTTTAGTTCTGCTCAACACTGTTGTTGGTGTTCCTGTGCCTCTGGGGTGGCACCACAGCTGTAGGTTTTAATAAAAGCATTGTCTTTGGAAGCTGTCTAATGGGACTTGAATTCATTTTGGAGGGCTGCAGTCACCGTAGCTGTTGCTGTGGATGTGGGAGGAGAGAGGGCTATTGCGCAGGGACATGGGGGCAGCTGGGTTCAGTGTCACCGCAGGACCCTCCAAGGACCGGCGCTTATTGTTTGATAGTTTCAATATACAATGTGTGGGTGTGTGAGAGCGTGTTTTGTGGTCATGCACTGCAGCCACCTGCATAAATTTAGGTATTTCAACCTTGTGTATGAGTCAAAGCACACAGCTGACAAAGTCTACTAAAGATTATATAAATAAACACTGAAACACATGACTATTTTGTTTTTTGTGTGAAGTGAGCTGCAGTTGACTAGCCCCATAAAACAGACAGTTAAAAAAATAAATAAATAAAACTTCCTAATGCACTCCACAACGTGATAGCTACAGGATGCTCAGTATAATGAGTTATCTGAAAACGACACACAGGTGTCCATTGTATGTTTGGGCTGACCAGTCTGTGACACCATTCATTCAACAGTTACTCCATCTGTCAGCATTCAAACACCTTGGAAAAAGCCCCTCAAAGGTACATTTGGGTCATTTATGATGAATAATAAGCGCTTGCTCTCAACAGGAGGCCAGTGTTTCGCCAATGATGAGGTCAAATCAAATGTTAATGTCTAGATTTGGAACCACAATTTTTTGCTTTCCTTCTGTTTTCACTCATATCCCACAGGCACCTTTGCATCCCATCAGCAGAAGTTACATGGACGCATCTTTAGAGAGGCAAAGGGAATGAAAGAGTATGGCTATCTAGAAAGCAGCAGTAGAGGAAATCCTAATTGTGCCTATAAGTGTGTTCCCTCCTGTGGAGTGAAGGTGCAAGGTAACGGCCATCTTAAATCACAGCCTGGCTGTGGCCTTCATTAAAGCCATAATGCCAGGCTCTCCCTTTAATGGAAATGGAAGGCAGAGAGGCTGTTGGTGTAAATTAAAGTGTAAGGCCCGAGTAGGGAAAGATTTCCCCAGCTCTGACAGGTGCGGCCTGAATTAGCTGTAGTGCTGTTCGAGCAGTCAGTGGGAGAACACTGGTATTGATTTTAAGCACTGTTGCACTTCCTATCTAAAAGGGAATGTGTATTACTTGAGCTGAGCACATCAATCACTCAGTATTCCACCACTCTCCCATGGCATGCTTCAGATTTTGAAAAGATAAACAAACAGAAACAGACCAAAACAAAAGACTTCCCTGGCTGCACTTGTACTGTACAGGCTTAGCCTGTATGCATTAGCACACAGCTCATAAAAGGCATGGTTCGTGCATGCATTTGGTCCACTTAATTTTATTTTCCTGGTGTTGACAGAATGCCATCTCTATTCAGGGCATGTCCTGCATTGCATGTCACCTTGGTCAAACAGCTGGCGTCAGCTCCTTGCGCTCTGGCTGCAGCCCGCTCCTCTGTTTATGACCTGCATGTGTCAGAGTTGTTACATGCGTGCTGAGCAGCCATGCAGCACTGTGCCTCTCTGTGTACAACCCTGCTGCTTATCTCTGCCTTCCATCATACCCCTGCTGACCCAGTCTAGAGGTGCTCGCTGAGGAAGAATTAGCCTTCTTAGCCTATTCCCCACAGGGGTCAACCCACAAACAGACATGCAGACAGCTAAGCCACAATTAGACACAAACATAACCAGACACACACCTTAAGATGTGTGATGAGAAATGATAAGGCAGAACTTAACCACAGGTGTCCTGAGTGTGACCTCTCACATGTGACCTTGAACTGAAAGCCTTTTATGTAGAGTCTAGCCATCAATCAGCTCCCATCAATCACACACATGCTACATGCTTTCACCTCTCCCCAACACTCTTCTCCACTACATCCATCACTACACCCCAGCCTTTCACTGACTTACCTGAGAACATTTCTGTCTGACTCTCCCATTTGAAAACACATCTACACAGTGAACCCACAGCCTCACAGTCATCTTGTCCTGTGTTGATGGCTAAACTAAAACCTGGGATCTGTTGTCATGCTGTCAGGCGTTTCGTTGCATCTGTAGGTGCACTTGTAGAGTCGCTCCCTGGAGACACATCTGAAATACCAACACCTGACTAAGACATGACCACCAAGAGTCTACTGGGGACTGACCACTGCAAAGCAGACCCTCAAAGGTGACAGATTGTAGCCAGGAGCATCCTGAGAAACATTTGTTTAAAACGTCACTGAATCAAAAATCTCTTTAGTTTTACACTTTGTCATGAAGTCTCGTCTTGCACAGGAGAGCATTGGTGACATTTGTGATGCACTAACACAGAAATATGCTTTTAGTAAACCATTTTGAATTAATTTTCCAATACAGGAAGATAACCTGTGTATTTTTGAAGAGGGTAATAAAGGTTACTCTAATTATAAAGGCCTACACTGAATTCAAATATAGTGTGAAACAGAGAGTTTTCTTAAATAAATAAAAAGAAAGAAAAACAACAAAAAAGCAAGGAATCATTCAGATCTTTCTGTTTATAATTATGCATGGGAGATATTGTATTTGTCAGTGTCATTACACAGAACAACTGTCAATATTTCTCCTAGGTAGAAAAAAGGTTAAAATTTAGGTAAACGATGGACTCACTGCCAGTAAAACCAGGGTCTGTTTACACATGGATAAGGACAAAATGTCAACATGGCAAGTCCAGCAAGCAAAAAAATTGCTTTTTGTGTATGAACATTAGAGGTGTAAGTGTACATGTATTCATACTGAATGGTCACAACACAAACATTTATCATAGGTACATTGAAGTACACAATGAATATGGTGGTCACAGGTGATGCCCTCATCCATCTAGAATAATAATAATGTGTTTTGTGTCATCATTGTATATTCCCATACAATGGCAAATTGGATCTCTGCATTTAACCCATCCACCACCAGGTGGTGCAGTGGGCAGTTATTGAAAGTGCCCGGGGAGCATTCGGGGATAGGGTGTGCTGCCACGACATGTGCAATGACTGGGGATCAAACCTAGGACTTTCGGGTCCCGAGTCGGCTGCCCTGCCTCTACCCCATAAAAGTGGGTGCTTGTTTATTCACCTGCATTGTGCGATCAGCCATGACAGAAAAGATGCAGAACAAGGTACTATGAACAGCACTCTACAATGAACAAATCATTAATGCCTGGTTCAGAATGCCAGAAGCTTTAAAAGTCAAAAAGTTATGATCCACAGTAGCATAGGAGAGCGACAAGAGGTCTCCTGTATAGCAAGAAGTTATGTAACATAGTGCACGCTTTGATGTAACGCATGCTTTGATATCTGCATGGCAGTCCCTTTGTGTATTTGTGATATTCCTGATATCAAGTGTTTTGTTCCCACATTAGCACTCACTTGCTAAGAAGCTTGGTGAGTGTTTCACATTTTGTTTATTTTTGCATTATAGTATTGGGAGACGTTATGCAACTCGTGTTCTATCGCCTAGTTCAAATAATATGAAGGACACACTCCTTGTTTTTTGTTGGAAACCAAAGGCTGGCATGGCAGCAGACAAAACTCAAGGAGACACAGAGGAGAACTAGACTGGGCATGGAAGCCACAATGCCAGACATGACCAAACATACTCAAAAACACTGATCCTGACAGTGACAGTAGCTGTGCTATTCTAAAAAGGCCAAGAATGTGAATCTTGCTACTGTCTAATTATAAATACATTAGCTAAATAAACTCAAACAAAGAGCAATATAATGCTGCAAAGTGTCAGATCACATGCATTATTAATTATCAACTTCGATATGATATATAATTACATCACACCCACTTCTGTCACAATCACATTGGCTGATATTAAGTTTTATGCGTTAAAATGAGCTAAAAGCCAAGAAGGACTTTTCTCTAGCTTCAAACGCATGCATTACCAACATATCCCCCTACTCTTTTCCAAATATCATAGCTACTCTTGGCATTTTGTTTCGCATGTGGGTGTAACTTCTAACCTCGAATGCTGAGTGGTGAGTGTGCAGACAGATACGAGCACATTAACATACCATTCAAAGCAGATGTTGTACTAATGCCTATTATGTTAATTGGGATGCTAAAAGGTGCTTATTAGCCGGTATTAATATTCTATGATGTATCTGCAAACTGTGAACTTTTCTAAACAGCCATCAGCAGCCTGTAAAATTAAACACCCCACCCTGAACTTGAGAGAGGTCGGTAAACTGTCTTAAAAAGATATGTAAAATGAAATATGGTAATTTTAGCTCCTTGAATGTAATAGTTATGAGGCTATGAATCCTAAAAAATGTATGCTTAAAAGAGGGCATGAGTGTAATTGTCTTACCTTGTTTTAGGGGATGTCGTTAGCCATTCTTCATGCTTTTCAAATGTTATCAAGTACGCTGCAATCTCCTGTGAAAGAGAGAAGAGAGGAAAGAGGAAAGGAGTGAGGCTTAGATATGTCATCTTTAATCACTGTTCTCTTGTGTTTGTAATACATTTGTGAAGCTGCTTCATTGATATTCAGACAGTCTAACCAGCAGAACAAACAGAAGAAAGATGGAAACATTGCTGGTGCCGAGGAGTTCAGGCATGTAACCACAACCTGGTAGAAGTAAAACGAAACACAGAAGTGAGCATCTGAGGTCAGAGCATCTTCTGAGACCATCTTTGTTACGAAAGCTTTGATCAAGTTCTCCTCTGAGGACATCAAGGTGCTCTCAGACAGATTGACATCTTTGTGTTTGAGAGTGAGGAGCTTTTAACATTTTAGGTCCGATCCTCCCCCAAATCCCTTTGATCTGCCCTTGACACTCTTCTTTGGATCAATCCACTTTTTAACCTTTGAATAATAATTACACGCAAGTCCCACAATATTGACATGCATGTGTTCTGCTATACTTCAGAAAAGGCTGCAGATCCTTTGGAGTCAGTTGTGTACTAAAAGACGCTATAGACACAAAATAATGATAATAATAAAAATATAGAGCAGAAACTGCCACTGGCATAAAATAAAATACTTCAAATACGTGTTTCTCAAGCTCACCTTCACAACTGCATCTGTCTGTGTGTAGGGGGGGGGGGGGGGGGGCATGTTAGCCCATACCCAGCCATTTTCTCACCAAACTAATGGACAGAAATGAAGGAACTTTGGGTAACGGCTGACAACCCATTGATTACCCGTGACAGGTAGCAATTCACCCTTCACAAGAACATTTGTCAGACTCCTTCAAAGAGCAAGACACAGGAACAGACTTGATGCCATCTTACACAACAGCATTGTTTTCTTATTTTCTAAAACTGACCATCTGTCTTATATACCTGTCCACAAGAAGCAGTATTGTTCACAATAATAAAGGCTAACAATATGTGTAAGTACCAAAATCTGCATTTCCTCTAATTGTTACACAAGAGTTTCAGTAGCCATTATGTTAACATTTCCAATGTTACAATAGTAAAGTAGATTATTTTTGTCAATAAGTCACTTGATTAAACAGAAAATAAAACCATTTATTATAGGTGGCTTTGAAAAACAAGTGACCACAACACAGTGGTCTTCACATTCTCACTTGGAAAGTTAATAGCTAAATTCTAAATTCAATGTTTCAGACACAACCAGCTGACTGCTAGTAAGTCCAAGTACAAACAGGAAAAATGCCTTTAGAATGTTTCCATTCTTTTTTATATAAATATGAACCAATACAAGAGGCCTCCCAATGGTGTGTCACCAGTGGGACCTGGCATTGACACAGCTGACTGGCAATAGCCCTCAGGGGTGCTGCAGGGTGTCTCACTGTGAGGGGTTCCCAGGCTGGCAGGCATCCCAAATGGGAAAGGGGTGTTAACATGATGGGTAATAGTGCCTCCAGGTGTGGGCTGGGAGATAATATTGTGTTGATTAACTTACTGTTCTCCTGGCCTAACAACCAGAGGCATGAAACCAATGAGAAGATGGATTTTAAAATAAAATAAAAAAGACAGAAAGGGTGTGAAAGTTGACAAAAATGCTCTTCTGTTTTATAATTTCAAGCATATAACAGAAAAAAAATAACCATGGGAGCCACAGTAGCTCGGACATCTGTGCTGCCGTTTTATAATCCTGTGCGTAGTAGTTCACTTCCTGGGGCGAAGTCTGCAGAAGGAAGCAGCCAAAAGAAAAACAAAACAACAACAAAAATAAACAGAAAAATAAACAATAAGAAAATGCAGCTAATTAAATGAGGAAAAATGTAAATAAAATAAAATAAATGATGTTGAGGTGTTAGTTGAGCCATCAGTTAATGTGGACTAACAGTAAGTAACTCGGGACATTATTACCTGCAGTGTCCCCTCAGTGTGGACTGAAATAGACAAAAGCGCCTTCTCCTACTCCGCTCCTGTTTCCTGGAATATCTTGCAAAAAGATCTGAAGCTCTCGACCTTGACCTCTCCAAGTGGCTTCAAACATCTGATAAGTTCATGGGAAAAACCAATGCAGACATGTTCTTGTTTTTAATTTTCTACATTGCCTTACAACCCAGCTGTTGTTTTTTTTTGTTCCATCTTCTTTTAAATAACAATTTATTTTCACTTTTTCTTTACCCGCTTATTCCATTTTGGGTCACGGGGGTCGCTGGTGCCCATGTCCAGCAATCACTGTGTGAGGGGCGGGGTACACACTGGACGGGTCGCAAGTCCATCACAGGGACACATAGAGACAAACGAGACAAACAATCATTCACTCTCTCATTCACACCTAGGGACAATTTAGTTACCAATCAGCCTAACATGCATGTTTTTGGTGTGTGGGAGGAAACCGGAGTACCCGGAGAAAACCCACGCATGCACCGAGAGCACAGGCAAACTCCACCCAAAAAGGCCCCTGGACCGGGGTTTGAACCAAGGACCTGCTCGCTGAGAGGCAGCAGCTCTACCAGTTGCGA